AAAGAAATTAAAGATTTCCTAGAATTCAATGAGAATGCCGACACAACATACCCAAACCTATGGAACACTTTGAATTCAGTGCTAAAAGGAAAGTTCATAGCGCTAAGTGCCCACATGAAGAAACAAAATAATCACACTAGAGAAATAGCAGCACAACTGAAAGCTTTAGAACACAAAGAAGCCAATACACCCCGGAGGAGCAGACACCAGGAAATAATCAAATTGAGGACTGAAATCAATAAAATGGAAAATAGGAGAACAATATAAAGAATCAATGAAACAAAGAATTGGTTCTTCGAGAAAATCAACAAGTTAGACAAACCTTTATCCAGTCTTACCAAACAGCAGAGAGTGAACATGCAAATCAATAAAATCATGAATGAAACAGGGCACATAACATCAGACACAGAGGAAATCCAAAGAATCATCAGGTCATACTTCAAAAACCTATATTCCTCAACATCCTTAGCCATCAGGAAAATGCAAACCAAAACAACTCTGAGATACCATCTTACTCCTGTCAGAATGGCCAAAATAAAAAAACACCAATGACAGTTTATGCTGGAGAGGATGTGGAGAAAGGGGAACACTTTTCCACTGCTGGTGGGAATGCCAACTTGTACAGCCACTTTGGAAATCATTATGGCAACTCCTCAAGAAAATGGGAATGAGTCTACCACAAGATCCAGCAATTCCACTCTTAGGGCCTATACACAAAGAGAAGCTAGTAAACAAGGAGGACCCTAAGTGAGACATACATGGTCCCCTGGAGAAGGGGAAAGGGACAAGATCCCCTGAGCAAATTGAGAGCTTGGGAAGTGGGAGGAGGGAGCTAGGAGAATGAGAAGGGGAGAAGAAGATGCAGAGGACATGAGGGAGCAGAAAGGTTGAGTCAGGGGAAGAATAGAAGATAACGAGAATGGAGATACCATAATAGAGGGAGACATTTTAGGTTTACAGAGAAATCGGGCACTAGGGAAATGTCTGGAGATCTACAAAGATGACACCAGCTAACAATCTAACCAACAGAGGAGAGGCTGCCTTAAATACCCCTCCTGATAATGAGATTGATGACTGACTTACATGCCACTCGATAGCCCTCATCCAGCAGGTGGTGGAAGTAGACACACACAACTAATCACCGATCTGAACTGGAATCCAGATGCAGAGAAGGACGAGTGAAGACCACAGGGTTCCAGAACAGGCTGGTGAAACCCACAGAAACAACTGACCTGAACATCGGGGAACTCTTGCTCTGCAGACTGATAGCTGAGACACCAGCATGGGACTGATACAGATCCCAGGAACATGGGTTTCAGTGAGGAAACCTCGGAAATCTACGGGACCTCCTATAGTAGTTCAGAACTTATCCCTAGCATAGGTGTGGACTTTGGGACCCCATTCCACATTCAAATCCTGTATTGACCTTATTGTTTTCTTTTCCTGTTCTTTATGATTTCCAACCATCACAGTATCAATTGTTCTTAAGAACTTAGTTGCCGTGTGTTGGTAGCACACAGCCAGGCGTTGTTGGTGCACTCCTTTAATCCCAGCACTCTGGAGGCAGAGGCAGAGGCAGAGGCAGGAGCATGTGGATCTCTGTGAGTTCAAGGCCAGCCTGGTCTCCAGAGCCAGTGCCAGGATAGGGTCCACAGCTACACAGAGAAACCCCTCCCTGTCTCAAAAAAACAACACACACACACACACACACACACACACACACAGGCTAACAGAATGGATACAAAGGCAGAATTCATCCTTCTGCTACATACAAGAAGCACACCTCAACTTCAAAGACAGACATTACCTCAGAGTAAAGGGTTGGGAGAAGATCGTCCAATCAAATGGACCCAAGAAACAAGCTGGGGTAGCTATTCTAGTATCTAACAAATTAGACTTCAAACTAAAATCAACCAAAAGAGATGAAGAAAGTCATTTTATATTAATCACAGGAAAAACCCATCAGGAAAAGTCTCAATTCTGAACATCTATGCCCCAAATACAAAGGCACCCATGTTGGTAAAAGAAACATTATTAAAACTCAAATCACACATAAGACCTCACACAGTTATAATGGGAGTCTTCAACACCCCACTCTCAACACTGGACAGGACCACCAGACAGAAACTTAACAAAGAGACAAAGGAACTAACAGAAGTAATAACCCAATTGGGATTAACAGACATCTATAGAACAGTCCATCCAAACACAAAAGAATATACCTTCTTTTCATCACCACAAGGAACCTTCTCTGAAATCGACCACATACTTGGCAACATAGCAAACATCAACAGGTACAAAAAATTGGAATAAGCCCCGTGTCTTAGCAGACCACCATGCTTTAAAGTTAGAATTCATCAACAACACAAATTGCAGAAAACCTACCAACTCATGGAAATTGGACAACACGCAATTGCACAATTCCTGGGCCAAGGAAGAAATAAGAAAGAAATTAAAGACTTCCTAGAATTCAATGAAAATGAAGACACAACATACCCAAACTTATGGGACACTTTGAAAACAGTAATAAGTGGAAATTTCATAGCTCTAAGTGCTCACATGAAGAAACTAAAGAATAGTCACACCAGGAAATTGACATCACTACTAAAAGCTCTAGAACAAATGGAAGGAAATCCACCTGGAGGATGCATATAAGTTAGTCTTCAATCTCATTATCAGGGGAGGGCATTTAAGTTAGCCACTCCATTGTTGCTTAGATGGTTAGTTGGTGTCATCCTTGTAGATCTCTGGACATTGCCCTAGTGCCTGATTAGAACATTTTATGAACTCCTTACTTTTTAATGCTAAAAATTATATAGCTACATTGTAGGCAGCAGAAAAATGAAAAGATAAATTGTTTACTGTATCCTATACCCTCAACAGCTGAAAATTTATGGATAAATTTGATCACATGATAACTAAGAGTTATTGAGGATGGTGAGTTGATACATTTCTGCAAAAAAGCATAATGGTAATCATTGTATTTTTTCTTTGTTGTTGTGGGTAGAACCAGCATATTTTCTTAAGGATAATGAGCCTCTGGAGAAGATAAAATTGTGGTACATTTTCTTTTGAGGTTTGGTGTAATAGGACTTATTTATTATTCAGTAAATGATAGTAACGGAGAACTGCATTTCCCTTATCAATAAAACTGTCTTCTCATATGCTAGTGAATTGATTTCTGTTAAGACTCTATTTACTGTATTCAGTAAATGATAGTAACGGAGAACTGCATTTCCCTTATCAATAAAACGGTCTTCTCATATGCTACTGAATTGATTTCTGTTAAGACTCTATTTACTGTGGTGAGGTGACTTGGAATTTAGCCCTGTTCAGCATAAATGCTCTTTAGGTGACTAGACCCATGACTTTGAGCGAATAGCTGAACATTTCAAAGCTTGCTTCTCTATTGAGTCAGAGATACATAGGCTTCTTTCTATATTTGTATTTATTTATTTTAAAGTTTTGTTCGATGACACACAGAAATAAGAAAAAAGTAACAATGTATTACAAACCCTTATATACTTCGGAACTAGTCTATTTACCATAACTCTTGTATGTTGAAGTAAGGAGAGCTTTCTTAATTAGGTTAGAAAGTTAGATACAAGCAACATCTAATAACATCAATTTTTAAAATGTGGTTTCTAGGTATTGGTTTAAGGCCCATCTGTTTTGGCTGCTATAAAGCCCTGTCTATGTCCTTAGACAAACCTGGACATAGACAGTAGTCCATAGACAGGAATTCAATACCATGACTTCAAATTTTTACATAATTTGCTCAGAATTTCTTCCTTCTCTGTCCTCATCCTCTTTTCTCTTCACACCAACAAACCTAAGTGACTAAGTGTGCCTATGTTCATCGTCCCACCTACATGGGACCACAGATACACAAACACAAACAGCCTTAAATAATTCTGCATAGACCCTCTAACAGACAGATGCAAAATCACAAAAATGTTCACATGGCATTGTGCACATGGACCCTAGTATATGAGCCTTCCAAACATCTATTGTAGAAATAAGCTTCACTCTGTAGACTACACCACTGTCTTATTTTTTAATTTAATTAATGTTGCAACTTGACCATGTTTTACCTCCCTCTTATTCTTCTATTCCCTCCCCCAACTCCCCTCACTCCCCAGACCACTCCTCCTCTGTTTCTGAAAGTGGCAGGCCTCCCATGGCATATCAAGCTGTAAGGCTAAGCATATCCCCTTGTATTTAGTCTGGGCAGGGCAATCCAGTATGAGGAATGTGTTCCCAAGAGCCAGCCAAATCATTAGGTACAGACTCTGCTCCCATGGTTAGGGAGTACCACAAATAGACAACTGTCACATATATGTAGAGGGCCTAGGTTAGTCACATGCAGGCCCCCTAGTTGTTGGTTCAGACTCTGTTAGTTTCTATGAGCCTGGTTAGGTGTTTTGTGGGTTTTCTTGGGATGGCTTTGAACTGTAACATGTAGCTTGTATCACGCTAATTAGCAGGCAGGTATGCCTGAGAGTAAACCGAGAAGAGGACTCTTGGTGATCTGACTAATACTTGAATATTTTGATCCTCACTGAAGGCATTAATTCTAAAATCAGGAAGAAATTCCCTCAGAAACCCAGTACTTACATATTGCCACAGAGGAGTTTTTAACTTTGAAGTCAGGATCAGTTCAAATGATATTAGGAACACACCTATTAATGTTGCAAAGATGCTTAAGATGTTCATCGTCATAGTCCAGATCAGCTGGAACAGATTAAAAAGCATTGTCCAGTCATTGGAAATTATTCCACATTCATCTCTGGCAAGTGTATTCTTGTAGAAAAACTACAGAGACTCTAATCTTTCTGGAATAGTGAGATCACCAAAAAGGTTGTCAGAACTGCATATTGGTTAGGCTCCTATCAGGACCAAACTATTTGGGGGATAATAAAACTTTAAATATGATGCATATGTATTTATTTCTCTATTTGTGATAAAGCCTTTGATAGTATATGCATGTATTTATTTCTCTACAGATAACTGATTGAATGCCTATTCGGTGCTGAATTAATAAAGAGACTGAAAAGAACTGGGCTGTACATTAGATATTTTTTAGACTGTAGAAGAAAATCAAGTACATACTAACTGTAACTAGAATATAAAAAATATACCCATGGTATTGACAAATTCACAATACCACACATCTTTATATTACCAGAGATCTAATATTCTAGGAGACTGCTATGGTCTTGGACAGCAGGAAAGTAAAATTCGGCGAATTTTCTTGGGCATACAGGGGTGCTATCTAGCTCAATATGAAGGGATTTTCTTGATGATGTAGGGAGTTACTACTGTTGGAAGTCATTCCCCAGGCTACATGTAGGTATGATTGTCAGGCTACACACTTCAGGCAATTCATGCTTTATAACGTTGTTGAATAATTGTGTGTTATCCATATACGATGCCAGGGAGGTTATATATCATTTAATATTGGTATTAAAAAGGAACATTTTATACTTATTTCCTTCTCCATATTCACAATAATTTCTCTCCAGTTAATAAAGTTAGATAGCAAGTATGACAATTTGAACCATTGGGTTCTGAAACCTATCTCAAAGAGCAAATCATCTTCATGTAAACTGTTATATGTTGTTCAATGATGTCAGTTAGTTGATTTATTTATTCTGCACTCCCTTACAGAAAGAAAACCAATAAAGGCTATGAAGAATTCTGTCTCAGACATCCCAGGAAACTGTCTCTCTACAGACTGGCTTTCATATGCTGAATGGTGTTATGCACTATGCATTATGCAGCACAGATAATAATGGTCTTATTCAGCCCTGGACACTGCATTCTGTAGTACCAATATGCCAGGCACACTATGCTCACTGGAGCAATAGTGGTATGACTAGTACAGGAGTAGCCAACTGCTTTCTGATTAGTTTTGAGGCCTGTTCCACAGCATGGATTCCATGTCTGGTATTGTAAACCTCATCAGAAGTGTATGGCTGGTGATATCATAGGCCATAGTGGGGTACCTACTGATTTTTGTTTCTTTCATTAAACGGTTAGTTTGTCAAACTGCCTTCTAAATGTTCATGTTTATACCCATAGATTAATGCTGATTTCACCCTTGTTCAAAGAAGCTTTTTGTAGTGAGTAATGGTTAATGCAGAGACTCATAACTGGTAAAGCTGTTGAGACAAATGACTGTGAGTGCTCAGCTGTAGATGGATTGCCTTTATCAAGCTCTCCCTACCAAGGGCACTTAGGGGACATATTGGAAAAGGGAGCAGAAAGAATATAAGAGCTAGAGGATAAGGAGAGAAGAGAAATGATGTCTTCTGGACATGAATGTTGCATTTACCAACTTAGAGTACCGTGGTTGCCTATATAGAAACTACACTAGAAAAAGCAGTCATAACTCTAAAATTTGGAGAAGGGCTCCTAAGGTTTCACCCATAGCGGAGAAGTACTGGCAGTGGGTGATTGCTGAGGGAGTGAGAGCACTTTTCTTTAGGGTTGTGGCTTCTGGCAGATTGCCCACACCTCAGTGGATGACTTCACATCTGTCTACACATGGTTAGTACTAATTGGATAACTGGATTCGGGTAGATAGTAATAATAATAATAATAATAATAATAATAATAATAATAAATAATAATAATAGAGGACATGAAGTTGGGGGGAAATGGGTTGAGAGGGGTGTCATGGGAGGAGTCAGAGAGGGGTCATGTTTGGGGGAGATATGATTAAAATATACTGTATGCATATATGAAAATTTCAAAGTATAACAAAAATATCACTAGACAAAAGGAAATGCAACCAAACTAAAACATTCATTAGTTTATTTTTACACCCTAAAAATCCAACATTATTGTTTGGTTAGTTGTAACTTAACATATTTCACTCCTTAAAGCTGAAATACGTGCTGAAAAGTGACAATTCTGGAACCATCATTTTTTATTAGAAAAAGAGGTTTAATAAGCAACTGTATTTTAAGATCCCTTGGAGAAGTGGTTTTTACACATAGAGTTTTTCTGGACAAAGTTATCTGAATACAACAAACAAGAACAGGCTTCTAGTCTGTTGAGTGGTGATTCAGAAATGCAATAGGCATAAATACTATGGGAAACAGTTTGGTAGTTTCTTTTAAAAATGATAAATATCTGTTATAAGAGGAACAAGAAATATGTCTGAAACAAGACTTGTGGAAGTGTTCGTAGTAGCTTTATTTGAAAGTGTTCAGTACTAGGAACAATGTGATTCCCTTAACAGGTAAGTGTACCAACAAATTACACAGACATCCAATTGTTTTTTTTTCCTATAGGCAACTTGTATTCTGCAACACTGATAATTTAGTTTACTAATTAATTCTAGATTTTAAGAGATTTCGTTGTGTGTTGTAGAATGTTTTAGCATGTTTCATATGTCTGCAGATGAAGCACATATCCTGAGTTTCTAATCTTGAAGGTCTTTATGTCTTTTTTTCCTTGACTTATTACACTATACAATACATGGCGTCATACACATATACATGGTTTCTGGCTGTTTTAGTTTGCTTTCTGTTGCTGTGATAAACACCACCACCAAAAGCAATTTGGGGAAAAAAGAGTTTGTATCATCTCACAGTCCATCACAGAGAGAAGCCAAGACCGGAACTCAAAGTAGAAACATTGAAGCAGGAACCATGGAGGAACACTGCTTACTGGATTGCTCCCTCTGGCTGGCTTAGCTAGCTTTCTTATACAGCCCAGTCTAAGTTGCCTAGGTATGGCATCACCCACAGTAGGCTGGGTGCTCTTACATCAATTAACAGTCAAGAAAATGGGCCAACACGTGGCCATGGGCTAACCTGATGGAACTCTTCAACTGAGGTTTCATCTTCCCATGGAACTCCAGGCTGTGTCAACTGACAATAAAATCTAACCTCAGAGGTAAGTGTTCAGTCTCACACTGCTATGTAGGAAAATAGATTTCTTTTTGCATGTCAACTTGCCAAGTTGAGGAAGCTCCCTTCCTAGATTTTTTTTTGTGAGAGTTTTGTACAAATAACACAAAATACATCTCTAAAATTATGTTTATATGCCACATTGCACTCTTTTAAAATTGAGGCTAAATTCTATGTCATTATAAATAATCTCCCTTGTACCTGTGGGGGACATGTATATTTGGCATTGTGCAAATATGGGGGTTAGAGGAAAATTTCAGGTGTCTGTCCTCATCTACTATGAACCAGAGCCTTTTGTTGTTGTTGTTGTTGTTTGTAATTACAGCCTGGGAGCTTCTGGGGATTCTATTGTCTCTGATTCCCATCTTGTAAATCATTGAAATTACAGATGTACTTTATCATGGGCAGCATTGATGTGGATTCTGGGGATCTGAACTCAGGTCGTTTTGCTTGCACATAACCCTGGCCCTCATTTCTTATTGTTTGGAGATTAGGTTTGTTAAGTATTAGGAAATACGGCCTTTACCACCATTTAACTTGTTTGAATAGTCATGTATAGCAATCATGCTATTTCGGTACTTTCATTGTCTGAGATAACATAACCACCCCGACTTTCTTTGGATGGATGTTATATTTCTCATACTTTAAATAACACCCCCCTCCCATGGCTTCTGGGTAGATACCTACTCACTCAGAGGCCATGCTGAGTCCTCACTGACTTTTTCTTTTTGAAGTTTTTATTTAGTCTTTTAAAATTTCATACTTTCACTGACAACAAAAGCTTTTCAGAGCTGCTCTGAGACTTACCATGTTATTTGAAGGCCTCCTCTGTAATACTATTGAAAAACTTCCTGATATGCTATACTGGAAGCAAAACCACATTTGTTAATACCCAGTCATTATGCCTATATGTGAGCTTCAAGATAATTCTAGAATTCTGTAACATGAGGGATATCATTTTAGTTCCTTAGTGGGGACTACTAAGAAAACAACTCAAGAAATAGTTCAAGATTTACATTTACAGAGGTGAAATCTATGAAAATTCTAAACACTAATGCTACAATTATAATAGGAATGGGATCCAGGGGCATCTTGAAATGACTTTAGCATCTCATTTGCATAGCTGATTTGAATCAAACAGATTTTGTCTTCCGTATACGCTTCTTGTGTTTATTATTATGGTTGCAAATGTATCAAATAGCTGTTTTAGAATGTAGACTCATATTATTATGAAAGAATATTATGGGTAAGAAACTAGGTTTTTACCGACCCAGACCCCCTGAACCTGGATGTCAGTTAGGAGGCCTGGGCAGTCTATGGGGCCTCTGGTAGTGGATCAGTATTTATCCCTAGTGTACCAATGGACTTTGGGATCCCATTCCACATAGAGGGATACTCTCTCAGCCTAGACACATGGTGGTGAGGGGGCGGCTAGGCCCTTCTCCAAAAGATGTGACAGACTTTGAAGATCTCCCATGGAAGGCCTTACCCTACACCCTCAGTAAGGAGCAGAAAGGATGAGATAGAGGGCCTGTGGGAGGCAGGGAATGAGGGGAGGGAAAAGGAATTAGGATTGACATGTAAAACAAGATTGTTTCTAATTTAAATTAAAACAAAATTTAAAAAAGAAACTAGTTTTTTTTTTGGTAATGCATCAAATGTCTCTTTAGCCATGCAGATTTTTATTATGAAGTAATATTACAGCTAAGAAAATAGTTTTTTCATAATGTACCAAATATTTAACAATGTAGAATATTATTATGGAAGAATATTTTAGGTAATAAACTAAAGGTTTTAAAAACATATTGTTACTGTCTTTTTTCAGATGTGGGGATGGTTTCACAAGGAACAGGGATTGTGTATTCTCTAGGACACATTGCTTGGATCAGGATCCATGAAATGTAAGGAATACATTAGTAGTTGCTATCAGAGATGATGTTACTCACAAGCAAAGAGGACCACAGTGAGTATCCTGAAGTTCCAATGACAGGGAAATACTCACTTCCTATTCCAAACACAAGACTTTGAGAGAAATATAGGAATGTCCAGTAGTATCCCAGGCTCTGTATGATCAGGCTAGTCATCAGTTGTATAGACTGAAAGAAAAGGATACCATTCTTAGTCATGGTTCCAGCTAACTTCTAAAAAGGAACAACCTCAAGACAGATGCCAGGATGAAGAAGAAAGGTGGTGCTCTACCATGATAGTGACAGTTTACAGAACTTTAGAATGAGGACATCAACTGTGCTATGATGCTCTGTCTATTGTTCTAGGCTGTTTTGTCATGTTTTATCAACCATAATCAAGTCACAGACCTATCCTGTCACTACAGAGATATCTCAAAATTCCACCTTTTCTTGTAACTTTCCCACTGACACCCGTAACTCCTGGTGATTATGCATCTGTTTCTCATAGCTTTTTAAATATTCATCTAATTTCTCAAAAGGTTGGGAGTCTATTAAGGCTCATTGTTTCTATTTCCACTTGATCTCTATTTGTTATTCTTCTGTGAAACTACCCATTGAGTTCTTTTATGAAAAACAAAAAACAAAACAAAACAACTTATGGTTCATACCTGCAATGGTCTTTGGTGGACTGAGGAAGCAGGATTAGTAGTTTGAGTCCCCCCTGTGCCACACAGACATCTTACCCAAAACACAAATAAACAATTCCTGTTCCCCAGATCAGTTGGCTGTATCTGTAGAGTCTAGTTTTGAAGTGTGTGTTTTGCTCTTATTTAAAAAAAAAAATCTTGACTGTAGGCAGACAGTATTTTAAAAATCAACTAGTGTGATTTCTACTACCTTGCTTTAGTTGTTTTTGTTTCTTCTCCTTACCACATAATCTTTGGTAATTTATAGTTATCTACGGGTCTTGTTAGGATTTTAATAGGAATTATGCCAAACCCATATGTCAATTTAAGGAGAACTAACATTTTTTACTATGTTGAGCTTTGTAATCCATGAATGTGCCTTTTTATTCATGTAACCTAATTTGAATTTTTCATTAGTATTTAGTCATTTTTAAAATACAAGTGTTATATATGGTTTCTTCAATATATGTATTTCTAGATCCCCTGTGCCCATGTGTGTGTGTGTGTGTGTGTGTGTGTGTGTTTGTGTGTCTGTGTGTCTTTGTATGCATGTATTGATTGTTTAGGATTTTTTTCACCTAATTTTTAATTCTTTGTGTTTAACTTTTAACCTGGCTCTTTCATTCAGCAGTATGAATGGGCAGTGCACAATTGCACAGCCAATGTGTGTGGTGGACCGGATTGCAAACAGTGGTGTGTCTGTGAGATAATGTGAACAGCATAGCACCTTTGTAACCAGCCACTGTTCATAATTTGTAGTTTGCAGCTTCTTCGGGCAATTCGCTCATCTTGGGATTGAAATAACTGATAGATGGTTAAAAAAAAAAAAGAATATTTTTTCTCCATGTCCAGACTCAGTATATGTTTTGATGCCATGTCACCATCAGAAGCCATTGTAACTGATTCGCCTCCTTTTGAAGAATTCACAGTAGATACAGAGGTGGTTCAGGTCTCCTACCTCATGTGTTAAGGAGTGGCAACCCTCTCACAGTTGACTTACTCACTCAAGCGGCCTTTTGTTCTTACCCCCAACAACCTCAGTTCCTTTTTTACCCATAGACGATTCTGTGGCATGTTCATCAGAGGGATATGAGGATATCTCCTATGAAAAATGTGGACAAAAATCAATATAAATTAAGTCAGTTAGCGATTATTCTTTTTCTCTTGAGTAAGATTCGTAAGGGGGAATTCCTGAGGGAGAATCCAGTTCATTTTTTAAAAGATACTTGATTGTTCCCTAACAAATGCTTTTGCACCAGACTAGTAGTATCTTGATAAAACTATTTTTTTTTGTCTCCCAGTAAGTTTTGCTCATGTATCAAATTTGAGTTAAGTTTGGTAAGTACCTAATGATAGCTGCTCCAATCACATCAGTCCATCTAGTACCCACTCATATGCTCGAGTTGCAGCATCAGGAAGTTTAGACTCTTGATAGCTTTGATTTAGTCTATTACTTACCATCGGTGCCATCTAAGTTCAAGTATGTGTCAGGGGTACCTGAGTGGAAGGATCTGTGTCACACTAGGTGCAGAGAAGGCCTAGAATATTATAGGTAGGCTTCTTAAGTTAGTGAACAAGACAACCGTGGGCAGGGGTGTTCACTATGCAAGACAAGGATAACTCATCATTTCCAGCATTGATAGGGAGGGCAACTGTTCCTATTTTGTAGGAGTCACAGGCCCCAGAACCAGCTTCTGTATTTAATACCCATGACAATTGTTCTTTGATCCTAGCTGGTCTGAATAAAGGTGGATATCTAAGTCACTTAGTTGGGGGGGGGTCACAGGAAAAACTCTTTCCCTGATGATCTGGCAGAGTTTGATTGAGAAGATGTAAATGCTAGAAGCCATGGTGTTATTAGGTTGTACCCATTCTAAAGGACAGAACTGGCGTGGACAAAACTTTGGGCATCCAGAGAAAATCAGAGATGGAAAAAGAACAGAATAAATCACCTTTTGACCATCTTCAACCTCTTAATTTCATTATTTTGGAAGTCTGGCTGCATATATATTATATAAATACTCGTTTTAATTTTGTTAAAGGAAATAGGAGATAATGTTTTCTTTTCAGCCAAAAGATTAGTACATTTTTTGAGTGGCTTTCTAGTTAGACATGGCTTTGACAATCCTCCTCCCCATCCCTACCCCTTAACCCCCACAGCCATCCCAGTCTCTAATGTCTGACCAATCTTTTCCCTTTTCCTGCTACCACTGTGTATAGTCATATCTAAAATTCAGCATATTGTCTTTAGATCTTTCATTTACAAACTTTTCCTTCTCCTCAAATAAGCCACAAACTCTGGTTTCAGTTGCCATACTAATGTGCCATTGACATTTTACAAGGAGAAAATACACAAAGGCACAGCAAAAAGAATTTTAGAAGATGCTTGAGTTAAAAACTTACCCGTTACGAGGTGACCTTTTAAAAATGAAATGAACTCCATCAAAGTCTCTTATCAGCGACAAGAATCCCCTGTAGGGTTGTATTGGGGAGGAAAAAAGCTAGTACACAATTAAAACTCACCAGTAAGTAGTGTCCAACGCCAGTCATTAATGTGGTCTGTTCAAAGGTCATGGTTTCCCTACGCTGTCATGATCCTAAGGGTAGAAGGAGGCAATCCTTCAGGGGTTTCCTTTAGGTCTAGATCTTCCTGCTCTGGGATTCCTGCAGACAACACCTGCCTCAGTGGCGATGCTATCTCCGTGTGTCCCTCATTACCTCTTGTGGATCCAACGCTGCTGGCTGCTGCGGTTGTGTCCCAGAGCAACCGCGAAAGGCTCCACGCGAGGAGGGCCACGCAGACGGGCATTCTGCCGGCCTGTGGAGGTTCCACCCAGCCTTCAAGGCCCACAGATAAAGATGGGGTTAGGGATGGGGCCAGCGGGAGGGAGTCTAGTGTGGACACTCTTTACTTCTCCGTGGTGAGCACACTCTAGCCTTTAACCTGCAGAATGCCTGAGCCCAACTCCTGGCCGATTCTCTGCTCTGTCCTTCCCTACCGAGCAAATGCCTCCTGCTCTTTTCCAGTAGACAGATAGAAGCAAGTCTTTCTATAGTGAGTCTCCTCAAAGTCTAGATTCTAGACTCTGGAAGGACACTATATTGCACGAATCTGTCATCCACCCTGGGACAAGAAACTCTAACTAAACTCAATGGGCAACACACACACACACACACACACACACACACACACAGAGAGAGAGAGAGAGAGAGAGAGAGAGAGAGAGAGAGAGACATGGAGATGGAGGCTGGAGGGGAACTCGTTGAGAAGGGATCCGGAGGAAGCTGAGAGGAATGGGGGGGGGATACAATGACTAAAATCCATTATAGATAATATGAAACTATCAACCAAACAAAAAATAAATTAACTATGGAAAAAGCTACTGCTGTAATCTAGTCCTAAATAATGCGTATTAGAGAATCCTAACTTGATAGTCATGTTTTTGAGGCCAAGTGTTATTTATGATATGGGTCCCCACCCACTGAATGTGTAGTGAAAGGGTACTATGTCTGGCACCCAGTAGAAGTAAGTAAATGAAAGGTCATTCACTCCAACTCAGACTATAGTGAGTCTCAAAAGCAAAGCCGATTTGCTTGCCTGCTAACTAAAGGAGTGTTCCTCACAGGCAATTTGTTGAGGCTTCTAGTATCAGGTATTTTGTGGATTATATAATTCATGGGACAAAGTACTTTTGAGGATACATATGAATGGCACTATTTACTGGGAGTAAGAAGTGGAGTTTACTTGCTGAGATGAGACATGATCCCTTTTTATTTTTATTTTATTTTATTTTTTTATTTTTAGAGACAGGGTTTCTCTGTGTAGCTTTGTAGACCAGGCTGGCCTCCAATTCACAGAGATCTGCCTGCCTCTGCCTTCTGAGTGCTGGCATTAAAGGTGTGTGCCATTATGGCCTGAGTGAGAGATGATCCATTTTAATGTTAGGAGGTCAGACAAATAGAACCCAACTTAGGAGGTGAGGAGCAGGTTTAGGAAGTAAGGAGAGGGCTTAGGAGGTAAGGGGCAGGCTTAGGAGATAAGGAGAGGCCTTAGGAGGTACGGGGCAGGCTTAGGAGGTAAGGAACATACAGAAAGAGGTCCCTGCAGATGCTAGAACTCTAGGAGAAAATGTAAAATGATGCCTAAATCTTCCGAGGATTGTATATTTGTTTGCTGGATTTTGCAATATGGAGGTGACTGCTGTCATTGAAACAGATACTCAAAGGACAGGTGGAAGCCAGACTCGACATAGAGTGGAATCAAGGGAAAACAAGAGGTGACAATTTGGAGATAATACATCCCGACCTCTGGAACTTTGGTTTTAATAATCATGTACAGAGGGAGTACTGTAGCATAGTAAATAAAAGACCCAGAGACAGATATCAGGGATCTAGCTGAAGATCAGAAAATCAAAGCAGTCATCCACTAGCTTTTACCTCTACCTCAGCTCAGACCAAAGGGGCAACCCTCAAACTGCTCCCTATTTCACTGCTCCTCAGATTCACCCAGACTGCTATGTGGCTAGAGACTGACTGTCAGACTGAATGGCTCTACCTTTTATAACTCTCAAATCCTGGGATTAAAGGTATGAGCTCTGATTCACTCTAGGTTAGCCCAGGGTGGTCTTGGACTCAGAGATCTATCTGCCTTTCTCCTGAGTCCTGGGATTAAAGGTATGAGCTCTGATTCACTCTAGGTTAGAGTGAATCTTGGTCTTGGACTCAGAGATCTATCTGCCTTTCTCCTGAGTCCTGGGATTAAAGGTGTGTACCACCACTGCCTGATCTCTACAGCTTGAGGCAGCTTTGCTTTCTGAATCCCCAGGCAACCTTTAATAAATCATAAATAATGTATCACTGTAGAGTAGAGCAAGGGAATCGTTTTAAGATAAAATAACGAGTATGTAACGATGGGCCGACTGTGAAGTGATGGAAACCCAAAGCCAATTGAGATAACAAAGGAGCAACAAGACCTCCAACTGTGATCTCTGGAATATCCGTTTTGTCATGCACAGACCCTTGTACAGCCTCAGCTTTCTTGGCCCATTACTGAATTTGCCTCTGGAGGAACTCCTTTGCAAAAAGCCTGCTCACTTTCTGGAACCAGGAGCTCTTGGGTATGAGAATGGAGGGTACAGGTTTTATGACTTTTATGGAAGTTTCTGGACCCCCACAACTTAACAAACAAGTAGCTATATATGGCTATGGAGCATTTGTCATGTAGTTGGCTTGGATTGACATATGTTTAAGGTACAACATGCACACACAATTCTGAAGACTCCATATGATTAAACAATTATAAAGTATGTCACTGATTATTTTTACTTGCACCATCTAGGTATTTTTGATTTATTTAGTTAGACTGTGTTAACAAAATTAAGCACATATATTTCTATTTACTCTCTTTGTGTGGCTACTGGGACAATTTAAATATATATACATGGGTTTTTAGTATAATCTAATAAATAAGGCTGTTTTCTGTCTTCCATGGTCTTGTAGACCACTCCCTTCTTTCAGGTTTTCCAACCTTTCTAATGACTTGTTTGTTTGTTTGGCCTCAATTTCTTCATTTTCTTTGTCTCTTTTATTTTTGAGATTATAATATAATTACACCATTTCCCCATTTCCTTTCTCAAAACCCTCCTGTTCTCTTTAAAATTCATGGAATCTTTTAAAATTTTATTTAAAAATTATTATTTTTAATTTTATATAACAACCCCAGTTCCCTCCCCCTTCCCTTTTCCTGCCCCCGTCTCCCCTCTTCCCCTTGCCCCAATCCACTCCTCATATGGGATACGGCCTTCCTTGAGGAGTCAACAAAGTCTGTCATAGCCTCTTTTTAAATTAATTGTTGTTACATGCATATATGTACACATACACATATGTTCCTAAGTGTGTGTGTGTGTGTGTGTGTGTGTGTGTGTGTGTGTGTGTGTTCCTAAATATAACCTGCTCAGTGTGTGCACTCTTACTTGTATGTGTGTTTTTAGGGCTGACCATTTGGTATTGGATTCCTTAGTTGCCTGTAGTTCTCTGCGTAGGGTTGAGACCTCCTGGGCTTTCCCTTGTCCACACAGAATCAGGAGAATTGCTGCAAAACAGTGGCTTTTAGGCATAACAGCAATGTTGTACCCATGACCTTTCTATGTCTGTGGTAACCTGTGTTAAGACTCACAAGACCAAACCTGCCAACATTTCGGAATGAATGGCTGAAAGGTTCACAGGGCTCTACCTACTTGAGAAGATACAGGCAGCCAACATCTGTTTGGGGAGAGAGAGACAATTTTATCAGGGATGGGGGCACTGGTAGGTTGCTTATGCTCTAGTGGTCAGCCCCACACCTATGTATATCTGGGTAACACCAGTTGAACTCAGTAGGTTATACATTTTTAAAAACAGAGGATATGAATTTGAGAGGAGGATATAAGGAAGAGAACCATGGAGTAGTGAGCAGGGGGGTAATATGGTCAAATGTATTGTGGTCATGGATGACATTCTCAGTCTTCCTTCTCTTTTCTTCCTCCTCTTCCTTCTTCTCCCCCTCTTCCTTCACCTCTCTCCTCTTTTCTGTTTTCTTCCTTTCCTCCCTCTTCTTCACCTTCCTCCTACTCTTGCTCCTTCCTTCCTTCCTTCCTTCCTTCCTTCCTTCCTCTATCTCTCTCTCTCTCTCTCTCTCTCTTTCTTTCTTTTCTTGGTTTTTCGAGATAGGGTTTCTCTGTGGCTTTGGAGCCTATCCTGGAACTCACTCTGTAGACCAGACTGGTCTCGAACTCACAGAGATCCGCCTGCCTCTGCCTCCCGAGTGCTGAGATTAAAGGCATGCGCCACCAATGCCGGCTTGCTTCTTCTTTTCTGTCTTCTTCTTCCTCTTCCCCCTCTCCTCCCCTCTCCCCTTCCTCTTCTGTAGATGAATTGCCACTCTAGTTCTTTCATTTGAAATGTCCTCCCACCTTTCAAGACCCCCCCAAATACTAATCTCTTGATTGGAGTTTTCACAAAATATTATCATCTTTACACCAGAAAGAGCATTCTCTGTTCTGTCATACTCCCAGTTTTTATATGACTCTTAATACGAAAATTGCTCATAGTTATGATTTCTTAGCTGCTTGTTCTTCTGCTAAAATAAGAACTGCCTGAGATGCCTCATCAATCTCTTAAACCCCAGGTTTTAATCATTTCTTTGGGCACAGTAGACATCCAGAAATGAGCTAAGCACTGAAATTTGTAGAAACAAGAAACCTTAATTGACAGTCATGGAGAACCACCAGTGTAATGCCTTGAATGATGTAAAAACACTGGTGTTCCTCAGTGTTGCTTGCATTGATGAGGAAACTTCTCTGATGCCATGTTCACGTTAGAAAAAACAGGCAAACTGCATGCAGAATAGCTTCCTGGGAAATGTTCCTCAACATGGAAAAGTAGTTTGCTTTGCAATGGATTGAACATCGACTCAAATAATGGGAAGAAGGAAGCAGGGGAATGAGAGGGGGAAAAAGGCAGCAGAGACATACAGGGCAGAAAGGAACTTTAATGAGGACAGGAAAAGCCATGGGACAATAAAGGCACCGAACTGGTAACCTTTTGATCCTTGCTTTGTGGAGGTAGAAGCTAGCTTGAGAAGAATAATGCAGGATGTGGTGGAACGAACTTTTCACTTACAGATTGTAGTCCAAATTTCATAGCATGCACTCTACTGGTTACAAGTGGGTTTTATGGTCTAGTGCAGATGATCTGGGAGAGTTGACAGCTTTTCAGAGTGGTTAACTAGCAGATGTTCCTTGTGATAATCTCTTGCTTACATAGGAAAAGTTTTCCCCTCTGAAACCTAGATGATATGTGTGTAGACATTCCTTAAATATCAGGGGAATAACTTTTAACCTGTTGTGAATTTCCTCTTGCATAAAATTGCATGCATTGCGCAGCAACCTTGCTGTACGGAAGTATCATTGGCACATACATCAGGTGTCAGCAGCCAGGAAAGCTGTTCATGTCTCCAGCTTTCAGAATTTGCCGTCTATGGCATCAGAAACAGTTTCTAAACTTTCTTCTTGTCTTCTTCCCTGGAATAGAAAAAGACAGCCACTTACAGATGACACCCAGTGCTTCAAATCCTGTGAGTAACAGAGAATTAAAATAGTAATAGAGAACACAGGCCACATTGGTACTTACAGCATACAATCTAGAGTGTCATTTGTTCTCTTTCTGTCTCATTCTCAATCCAACCTACCTTCTTTTAATGCCTCTAAATCCTAACTTTTGATATATTTGCTGATATTTTTATGTGTGTGGTTGTTTTACCTGCATGTGTGTTTGTTCACCACTTGAGTGCCTGGTGCCTGAGGAGGCCAGAAGAGGGCATTAGGTCCCTGGAACAGGAGGGCCATGTGAGCTGCCATGTGGGTGCTGGGAATTGAATCTGGGACATGTGGAAAAGCAGCCAGTGCTGTTAATGAAATTACCATTCCTCGTGAATTTATTTTATCCAATAAATTCTGACATTGTGGACAGATATGAGTGTATTTATCTATATTTCTGATATAGCATGCTTACACTTAAATCCCAGGATTCAACTTCCTCTTTTATAAATTCTGTTTTTGTCTGATCATCTTATATAACGAGTCATTGTTGTCACCCATTATATACATGCCCTTCAGTTTTTGAAGTCTGTCTTTTTTTTTTTCACCTTTGTTCTCCATTTCCACCAAGAGTACAGGTCCTGAGTGTTCTTTACAAGTTATATGTTTCCAAGTTTCTATTAAGAAGAAATACCATGACCATGACAACTCTTATAAAGGAAAACATTTAATTGGGGCTGGCTTGGTTTAGTTCATTATCATCATGGTGGAAAGCAGGCAGACATGGTGTTGGAGAAAGAGCTAAGAGTTCTATATCTGGATCAGCAGGCAACAGGAAAAGAGAGTACCACTGGGCCTGCCTTGTGCATGTGAAAATTCAAAGCCCACCCTCAGTGACACACTTCTTCCAATAAGACCACACCTACCCCAACAAGGCCATCCCTGCTTCAACAAGGCCACACCTAATAGTGCCACTGCCTATGAGCCTATGAGCCTATGAGGGCCATTTTCAGCCAAGCCACCACACATGTAATTATTTTTTGTTCCCTGTATTTCTGCTGTTTTTTTTGAGATTGGACATCTTAAAGAATTGTTAGATACTTTAGATAAATGTCAGATAATTTAAATCAGTGGTTTTCAGCCTTCCTAATGCTATGAACTTTTAATACAGTTACTCATGTTGTGGTGACTCCCAACCATAAAATAATTTTTGTTGTTACTTCATAATTGTAATTTTGCTACTGTTATGAATCATAATGTAAACATCTGTGTTTTCTGATGGTCCTGATGATCGACCCTGATGAAAGGGTCGAGATTCACAGGTTGAGAAGCACTGATTTTAATAGTTTCATCACTTCCTGGGAGTGGTGGATGCTGCTTTCTTTCTAGAGACTTGTTTATGCTAATGACATGGAGTCTATTTCCTTTGGGGCTTGCCTCTGATCTATCCACACATTTTCATTGATTTCTAATTCCTAGTTCTTTTAAAGCTATTTTCTAGTCTACTCCGCAGGGCTAGCAAATTACTCAGCTGGTCATTATAGGCAGAGGAGATACTAAAAATACTTTGTTGTGGTCTGAATTACAATCCTCAAAACTTGTACATCAGAATCCCCGCCACTGGCATATTGGAATGTGAAAATATTTGGAGATAAGGTCGTTAAAGGGGCAATGGAATCATAAAAATGTTTTTTTTGGGGGGCTGGGCTGTTGTTCAACATGACTGGTATATGTAGAAGAGATCAGGACACAGACTCATCCAAAAGGAGGCCAGGTGAACACACTGAAAGCCAACGAGAGCGGGAGGGGCTTTAGAGGACACTAATCCCACAGCATTTTGGTCTTGACTTCTGGACTACAACTGTGAGAAAATAAATTTTCTTGTTTGGTAAAGTTCTTTACAATTGAGTTAAAGGACTTGAGGAATGGGGGTCCACCGGTTGATCCTAATTTGCAGTGCTGGAATTTAGAATCAACTAGGGAACACTCTGTTGGGTATTTTTGTAAGTTGGTGTTTTCAGAGAGGGTTAGCCCTGAATGTGGGTGGTACCATGCTGGGGGCTGAGGTCCTGGATCTTATAAAGGAAGCAAGCCAGCCTCCAGAGCATCACCATTCACCTCTTTCTACTTCCTACTGTGGATGCAATGTGTGTTCTGTAACTTTGTGTGTATGTACGTGTGTGCTTAATTTGAATGTGTGGACATGCTGAGAGCAATGTTAAGGGGAGAATCACCATGCATGTATGTATTGTATGTATATATATATATATATGTATACATATGTTTTTAATTTTAAATTTACAGTTTCATATGTTACTCTTGTCATTTTGCTTTATACCCATAATTTATGGCAAAAGAAAACAAAAGGTAAAGGAAATATCACATATTACTTTGCTATTAGTTCCAGACAGTTGTCTCCTTAGGTTTGCTTACTAGAAACCAAAAACCCCTGAATTGCCATAGGAAACACTTACCAAATGTGAACAACTGTAGATTGCATATGTGAGGGCCATCGCAAATTCCAGTGGGTAAGAGATCAGCAAGATACGGGACACTTCTCTCCCCAGCTTCTGTAACCAGGAAACAGAGGGAGATGATGTATCATTATCTGTAGTGTGTGTCCCCCTTCCCAAGAAGACCCCAGAGTAAGAGTCAAAGAGGAGGAGGAACATTGGAGCAGGAGACCTTCTTCCCATGTTTGATTTTCCTGGGCATTTCTAACTGTTTGCTTCCAGTTTCATTCATCATATTTTCATTCTTCCCAGCTGTTTGTCTGTGGCGTCTGTCCTTTGTCATGATCACTGAGCTTTTCTACAACTTTTTAGTCTCATGAAGGTATTCACCATCTAAACTCTTCAGTTAATCTGGTTTTATCATCACCATCATCATCATCATCATGGTGTGTGTGTGTGTGTGTGTGTGTGTGTGTGTGTGTGTGTATCTGGGTACATGCATGCTATGCTGCTCATCTGGAGGTCAGAGGACAACTTCCAAGTTCTCCTTCCTCTGTGGGTTCCAGGATTGAATTTAGGTCATCAGGTTGTGAGGAAAGCCCAGATTAAAAAATTATTATTATTTTTTTGCCTCATTTCATGTGTGTGTATGTGTGTGTGTTGTGTGTGTATGCATTCTGAAAACGTGCATATGTGTGGGTGTTGTGGAAGCCTTTCTGAGATTATCTTAGGAATCAATCTCAATTGTTTTTCCACCTTATTAAAGGAGACAGGACCTCTCAAACTCAAACTCTCTGATGTGGCTGGTCTTGCTAGCCAGTTTATTGTGGGGATTACCTGACTCTGCCTTCCAGGCTGGAATTACAGGTAGGCTGCTAGGCCCACCTGGCATTTATGTGGGTTCCAGGGATCTGACCTCATATATACACTTGCATGACAAGCACTTTAACCATCAAGTTATCTTCCCAGCTCCCAGCCCCAAGCCCTTGGTTGCCCCTCAGAGGTTGTAGGTAAGACTCTGTTACTAAGGTTACCACACATTTAGTACTTGTTAGGAAACACATTTGGATTCAGGTTATTAAGTAAGTTAGGCTAACCAGAAAGCCTCTGTCTTGTAGAGTGGCTTTCATAGCACCAAAAATTCCTGTGTGAGCTGCCATGGGGTGGGGGGAACACTATGAATTTTCTTGTCTAGCTGTGATAACTATGAACAATAATGGCGACCAACATGGCAAGATATCCTTAAAGGTGCAATAGTGGCATACATGTTGGCACCAACAGCTCTCTAATTGGCCTTAAAGCCTACTCAATGGAAACCATGCCTGTTACCTGAAACCTAGTCAACTTTGTAGGGAGACACTGTAACCACACCTCCTAAGGTGTGGCTACAGGTGTGTCCGACCACACCCATCAGGGTGTGGTGAAAGTGAAGTCAGGATGGCATGGGAGAGGTTTAAAGGGACAGACAAGGCACATGGGTGCTCTCTTGCCTTGCTGATTTAGCACACTCTTGCTTGCTGTTGACTGGCGTTTATCTATTAAAAGTTATCTTAACCTTACGGATTTTGTATCAGTTATTTATCACAATAACTGGTGCCCAACATGGGGCCCGAACCCATGACCCTGAGATTAAGAGTCTCATGCTCTACCGACTGAGCTAGCCTCAATACAACTTGGCCAGGGCTAGTGAGATTATGGATCTTACAAGAGAACCTACTACCATCACTTTACTAGACCAGCATAATTCCTAACTACATTCTAAAGTGTATCCTTATGCCCACTTTTAAGTGTAGCTACCACTCTTCATCAAAAAATCTTCTCTTCATAGCAAATGGAGACCATCACAGAAAACCACAACTTGATACAATGCAGAGATCAATGGATCATGGGAAGTTCAGCCCCAGTGAATACATCTACAACACAAGTTCTGCACCTAAGGCTGAGGAAGATGGGGTAGAAAGATAGTAAGAGCCAGAGGACTAGAAAGTCTGGGTAATAGACTCTCCCAGAAATGACTGCCTAAACAAGATATGAACAATACCAATGCCAATAGATGTGCTAATACAGAAGAATGAAATCTCATAGGTTCCCACCCCAGACAAAGAACTACAGACAGCTAATGAGAGGAGAGAGAGAGAGAGAGAGAGAGAGAGAGAGAGAGAGAGAGAGAGAGAGAGCAAGAGAGCGAGAGATAGATAGAGAATTAGCTTCTTTCAGAGATAAGCTCCTTAATTGGTTATACAAATACAAAGTGGCCAGCCATGAAATTATATACACACAAATAACAAGAAATAAATACAACAGCAGGTTGTATTTATGTATTTGTGCATCGTTTTTCTATATGTAACAGTAATAATAAAAGAAAAAGAGACCATTAGTTTGAAAGGGAGTTGGGGCACGGGGAGGGGGGGGAGAAAAGGGAAAGAGGGAAATGATGAAATTCTATTTTCATTAAAATATATTCTAAAAGATTTATTTTATTTATATGTATGTGTTGTGTGTATGCAAGCTCATGTTCAGATGCTATCTGAGGTAGAAAGAGGGCCTCAGATTCCTTGTAGGTGAAGGGGAGCTCATAATATCCTGGTTGTGAGTCACCCAACAAAGATGCTAGGAACCAAACTAGAGGTTCTCTTAACCACCGAGCCACCTCTCTAGCCCCCATACATGCTTTTGCCTCTTGAGACAGGGTTTCATGTAGCCCAAGCTGTCCTGGAATTTTCTGTGCACCTTGGGATGACTTAAAACTCTTGTTCTTGCTGCCTTGCTTACTAGAGTGCTTTGGGGACAGGCAGCCACCAACATGCTAGCTTAATCATGGGGAGTTTTCTTTGACAGCAGTAATATTTGTGAATCTGATTTCTTTTTCTGGTAAAGGTTGACTTTATTGACCTCAGCTCAGATCCATCAACTGGGAGGCCATTGTGTTTTGTTCTTATCAGAGAACTTTCCTAGATGTCCAGCAGCTAGCTGCATCAGCTTGGTCAGGACCTTCATTTCTCCTCTCCTCCTTTCTCATCACTACACACCCTTCAAGATCTGAGTTGCCCCGTACAGAGGCTTTCCATGATCTGGCTCTGCCCACTGCAGTCTTCAACGGTGCTGTTTCTCCCAGCTTGCCTGCACTGTTAGACACCAGTTCCCACAAAGCTTACCTCTCATTTACTCTGATACGGTTTTCAGGATCTGAGTTATGTGACTTTGTTTGGGACACCTTCTAAGTCATCTAATATTGTTGTCATCCCATCCATAGTGAGCTGACCACGCAACAGTGTAATACTTATGATGAATGTGCATTAAACACAGAGTATATATCACAGGCTTTGGCATTGTTGAGCCCTTTGGCTGTATATGAATGAATGTATGCATGAATTTGTGTTCTATATTATTTATGCTTATTATATATATGTATATGTCATCTATGTATTAATGTATGTATCTGTCATATATCTACATATTAATATGCATGTGTTATATATAGCTGCCTATTATCTACCTATCTATGTAGTAATTTATGTTTGTGTCTATGTTACTGTGACCAATTCTTCTGCCATCTGTGCTTATAACAATTAACGTCCTGTTTGGAAGATTCCAAGTCAGTGAAGGAATGATGAAGTACAACAAAATTTGTGGGTTTTTTTCTGTGAATAGTTTAAAATCAAATGGATAATTGAATGAATTTCTCCTCTTTTAGAACCATAACAACAGAACTTCCTTGTGGTTCAGAAGTATTTAAAAAGAACAATAGAAGGAACTGAAATTCTAAGTGCTTGCACAGTGAGCACCATACAGTTAAGAGCTGTTTCTATCATTGAAAGGATTCCTATAATCCAGAAAAGAAACTTCTTAATTAGATTTCATTTTTTTTTGTCAAGGTGTGCTGTTATAGAATATTTAGTGACTGTCTGACTGAGCATTGTTCTAGCTCTTGTCTTCTCACTGTGGTTTTCTGCTAAGATCTGACTCTCTCTTGTGACTTCACAGCTTCCTCCAACAACAGATTAAGTTACTCTGTGCCTGTCATATGTGGACCATGATGGATGTCCCGAGATGAGGCCAGAGTAGTTCAACAGATGGCAAGGCACCCAGGGGAGTAGTCTGCTCCATGCAGGTATGACAACATATTCTCAAAACATCATTATCATTCTGCAGTTCAAATTGAATTCAAATAATTGAATTTGCATATCCTCAACATTTGAGAATTGATTTCCTAAATGAGGAAATCTGGGGGCATAATGACCATGCACCTATGCTCCAGTACACATTATTTCAGGATCCAGGGGAATCTGCAGAGCCTGAATTGCAGTCTATTTTGCATAGATGGACCTTTTCATGTTATCTCAGGAAAGCTGTGGGTGCTGTTTTGCCTATTAATCAAATGTAATCATTCTCTGTTCTAAAAATAGGACCAGAAGTGCCTTGGAGGCTGGCGGGAGGGTAAATAATTAGCTACTTGGATGCCTAGAGAGAAACCGTAGAGGGTTTTGGAGACTCTGCACAAATGAACTGAAACATTATGCAAAATTAGTTTTGCTTAGATTTTAATTTATCTAATTTAATATGATTATGAGGAAAGCAAACTGTGGGCAGTTAGGAGCAAGAAATCAGGAGCCTGTGCAAAGGAGGTTGGCATGGTAACTCTGTGACAGATGTAATAACAATCAGGTACAGCTGAACTTGGTATTGCTTCATTTTCTTTCTACTTTGAAAATAATGATTTGGCCTATGGCCAGGCAGAATAGAGCCAGGCAGGAAATCCAAGCAGAGATACAGGATAAGAAGGGAGGAGTCTGGGCAGATGCTATCCAGTCGCTCAAGGGATAAGATGTCAGAGAATTGGTAAGACATGGACCACATGGCAATGTATAGACTAATAGAAATAGGTTAAATTAAATTGTAAGATCTAGTTAGTAATAAGCCTGAACAATAGGCCAAACAATTTGTAATTAATATTAAGCCTCTGAGTGATTATTTTAAAATAGGGACCAGGCAGGGCAGAGAAACCTTGGTTTATAAGTACCTTCCCATACCAAAGAGACTAGAACAATATAGGAGTAAAGGTTTCATGTAGGCACTGGCTCAACCTCTCTACTTTCAATGAGCAGTGTGGATGTTGTCCTTAGCAATGGGAACCCCCCCCCCTCCCGGAAGTCTTCAGAGAACAAACCTCTGTCCTAGCATCGGTTTGGGTTGTTTAGGGATCTCCACGGGACTGCCTTGGCCAACAACTCAACCAGATATAACCCAGTCTCACCACTAGAAGCCTTGCCTGGCTACAAAACGATGGCCAGTTCAGACTCCATTTCCTCCATTATTAGGGTCCTCACTAGTCACTTTCATAGATTCCAGGAAGTTTCCAGGGCCTCCCATCAATTCCAGCTGTCTGTCTCCTTCCACTTCCACCTGACCCCTCCTTCTCCCAGTCTACTCAAAAAATCTATTCTATTTCCCTTTCTTAGGGAGATCCATGCATCCCACCTAGAGCTCGCCTTTTAACCTAACCTCTGTGGGTCTGTGGATTATAGTTTGATTATTATTTACTTTATAGCTAAGTTCCACTTATAAGTGAATACATACCATATTTGTCTTTCTGGGTCTGGGTTACCTAACTCAGGATGATTTTTTTCTAGTCCCACCCATTTGCCTGCAATTTTCATGATGTTATTTATTTTTAACATCTGAGTAATACACTATTGTGTAAATATACCACATTTTCTTTATCCATTCTTCAGTTGAGGGACATCTAGTTTGTTTCCAGTTTCTGGCTATTATAAATAAAGCCATCATGAACATAGTTGAGCAAGCGTCCTTGTGGTAGGGTGGAACATCCTTTGGATATTTGCCTGTCTTATTTAGGGTTCCTATTGCTGTGAAGAGACACCATGACCATAGCAGGAAACTCTTACAAAGGAAAAACATGTAATTGCGGTGGCTTATATTTTCAAAGGTTTAGTCCATTATCATCATGGTGTGACATGGTGGCATGTAGGCAGACATAGTGTTGGAGAAGTAGCCTAGTGTCCTACATCTTGACTTGCAGGCAATAGGAAGTGGTCTGTCTCACTGGGTGTGTCTTCAATATATATAAGACCTTGAAGCCTGCCTCCACAGTGACACACTTCCTCTAACAAAGCCACACTTCTTCAGTAGTGCTACTCCCTTTGGGGGCCATTTTCGTTCAAAACAACATAATACCCAATAGTGATGTAACTAGATCTTGAGGTAGATCGATTCCCAATTTTCTGAGGAACTGCCATATTGATTTTCATAGTGGTGTTACAAGTTTGCACTTCCACCAGCAATGGAGTAGTGTTCCCCTTACTCCACATTCTCTCCGGCATGAACTGTCACTGTGTAAGATGGAATTTCAAAGTAGTTTTGATTTGCATTTCCTTGATGGCTAGGATGTTGAATATTTATTTTAGTGATTCTCAGCCATTTGAGATTCCTCTTTTGAGACTTCTCTGTTTAGATCTGTACCCCATTTTTAAACTGGATTGTTTGGTTTGTTGATGTCTAGTTTCTTGAGTTCTTATCTATTTTGGATACTAGCTCTCTATTGGATGTGGAGTTGATGAAAATCTTTTCCCATTCTGCTGTTTTGTCTATTGTCAATGTCCTCTGTGGTCCAGGAGCATTTTAGTTTCATGAGGTCATGTTTATTAATTGTTGATCTTAGTGCCTGCAGTATGGCTGTTCTGTTTAGAAAGTTGTTTTCTAGGCCAATGTGCTCGAGTCTATCCCCCCATTTTCTACTAGATTCAGTGTATCTGGTTTTATGCTGAGGTCTTTGATACTCTTAGACTTGAATTTTGTGCTGGATGATAAATATGGATCTATTTGTATTCTTCTACATGTAGATATCTAGCTACACCAGCACCATTTCTTAAAGATTCCTTAGTTTTTCCATTGTGAATTTCTGGTTTCTTTATAAAAAAAAAAGCACAGGTGTGTGGATTTACATTTGGATCTTCAATTCAATGGTGTTTGTTTTTATGCCAATACCATGTGGTTCTTATTACTATATCCCTGTTGTACAACTTGAAATCAAGGATGGTGATACCTCCAGAAGTTCTTTTATTGTCCAGGATTGTTTTAGTTATCTTAGACTTTTTGTTCTTTTCTGTATGAAGTTAAGAATTGTCCTTTCAAGGTCTGTAAAGAATTGTTTTGTGATTTTTATGGGAATTGTGTCGAATCTGTAGACTCTTGTGGATAGGATGGCTATTTTTACTATGATAATCCTACTGATCTACGAGCATGGGAGGTTTCTCTATCTTCTGATGATTCTTAATTCCAAGCCAACACGACTCAAGCAAATCTATTGTATTTTATCAACAAGGCTATTCATGTTTGCTATAGTATGATGTGCTTCACTTCTATGTAATCAAGTCTCGGGTACAAAGAAACAAGACTGACACTGACTTGCATTTAGCATCGAGGAGGTAAAGCAAAATCTACATAAGATGCAAAGGCAGGCTGTTATGAAAGTCCTTTGTGAGGTCAGAAACGATTAGGTATGCATTGTTTAAACACATTTGAGCAACATCAAAGCTCTCTTCCTGGTTGGTGAATGGCTTAGTGGTCCAGGAATGAACTCTTTTTGCATTAAGATGTCATCTGTGGAGAGACTGGGGGATAACTCACTTAGTAAAGTTCTTGCCTTGCAGGCACAAGAATTTGAGATAAATTTCCAGAACCTGAGAGAGAGAGAGAGAGAGAGAGAGAGAGAGAGAGGTGAGGTCATGGGGGGAAAATGAGGGTGTACAGTCTGTGCTGGGAAGACAGAAACAGGTTGATGTTTGTGGTTTTAGCCAGCTAGCCTACCCTACTTAGGGACTTTGGGGTTAATGATACTGTTACAAAATCAAAAATGTACAGTGCCTGAGAAATGATACGCAAGGCTATTCTTTGGCCTTCACATATACACATGCAACACACGCAACACGCGCGTGCGCACACGCACACACACACACACACACACACACACACACACACACACACACAGAGAGAGAGAGAGAGAGAGAGAGAGAGAGAGAGAGAGAGAGACATACAGAGAGAGAGAGAACGCTCAGGGGCCATCTTGGGAAGAGGAGGCAAAGAGCTTGTTAAGAGCCATAAACCACAGAGGACCATCATGAAATAGTGTCTGTGTCTTCTGGACAAGCCAGGGCTGCTGGACTCAAAAACTCACAGCACCTGTATTTTCCTGCACAAGATGCACACAAGGTCAAACCAATCAACATTCTAGCATGGAAGAGGCTAGGGAGAGGCAGCTCGGGAGTCTCCAGCCCTGACTGAGGGACCATTGACAGTTGACAGTTTCTGGGCAAGGAAAATCAGTTTTCTTTAAGGGTATAGTCCTAGGTAGATCAGTCACACACCAGTGGATGGCCTCACACCTGTGAGTGTAAGGGCAGCACAAAATAGACATCTATGATTATTGAAATAAATAGAAAACAGAAATTAAATTAGGATAGGGAAATGGGGTTAGATCTGAATGGAGTTGGCAGAAAAGTGGATGGTGAATATGATCAAACTATATTGTATGAAACTCTCAAAGAATAAAATGTCACAAACATAAAAAGAAAGCTGTTTTTATAAAAATCAGTTACTTACTGCTTGTCCATAATTCTTATATGACACAGAATGGAAGTTAGCCAATTCCACTATTGTCAGGCTGGCTGCAATGATTGTAACAATCATGCAGAGTATGTTCAGGGACAGGGCGCATTCAAGCTGAAAAGGACACATGGAGTAACTTAAAACATTCAGAAGAAGTACTTTTTTTTTTTTTTTGGATGTTTTTGTTGTTGCTTTGTTTTACTAGAAAACAATTGAGTCAAAATTTCCTTATAGTTTGCAAAGCTCCCAAAGTGTGTTTATGCTTGCCATTTCTTGGCTTGCATGAAATCTAGTTAATGTAGGGGAAACATGACTCCATTATCAGATGCCACCAAGTTTTAAATTTCACCAATCCTCAAAAGTTTTGTATTTTATAATCTTGTGAGTCAGCTGGAAGAAAGATCAAGATGTTTGACTGAAATATTTAAAACAAGTAAAGAAAATTGATGGGAAATGGTGACTGCAGAAATAAAGTCAAATGAGAGTCAATCTGTTTGAATCCTGGGTTTTTATTAGCTGGGACCATCTGTCAACATCTTTGGATAAGCATAAGGGTTTTTTATTTTATTTTATTTTATGTTTATTGGAGTCTTTTCCGGATGCATGTCAGTGTATCACATACAAGCAGTGTATCACATACATGCTATGGCGGACAGAAGAGAAGGTCAGATCCCCTTGGATTTGAGTTATGATGGCTCTGAGCCACTATGTTTGTGCTGGGGATTGAACCTGAGTCCTCTTAGGTTAAGTGCTCTTAGCACTTAGCAAGTGCTCTTAACTCCCAAACCATCCATCGATCCCCAGATTTCTTGATGTGTAAACATTTAAGATTAGATTAATTGATTTCTAAGCTGTCTTTCAGGTCTAAAATTCTGACATTTTTATTTCTAAATATTTTCCACCTACATTATGGATGATTTTTTTTTTTTTTTAGAAAATTCCCTACTTTGATACAAGGTACAACCCTATTCCCAATGTGAGTAGACCAGAAAATGAAGATTAAAGCACAGTAATGTTCACAGAGAAGGAGTTTAGATCCTGTAAACAAGTTTTAATCAAAGTAGTCATACAATGTTAAGGATAGAACATCCAAGCAAAATTATTATTTAAATTTAGAAGTTAATGATCAAATGTATCTGTTCTACATTAGGTAATCTGATCTCTGGTTTTTAATTTATTTTCCTCACTTATTTTATACGGATGGTAGATTCCTTTATTGTTTAGAGACTACTTTTCTTTATTTTAAAGAGAGAGAGAGAGAGAGAGAGAGAGAGAGAGAGCGAGAGAGAGAGAGAGAGAGAGAGAGAGAGAGAGCGAGAGAGAGAGAGAGCGAGAGAGAGAGAGAGAGAGAGAGAGAGAGAGAGCGAGAGAGAGAGAGAGCGAGAGAGAGAGAGAGAGAGAGAGAGAGAGAGAGAGAGTCCCTGTGAGTGCAGTTGCCTTCAGATGCCTGTAGAGAGAGCCAGATCTCTTGGAGTTATTGGAAATTGTGAGTCAACATGGGTGCTGGGAACTGAACTCTAGTCTTTTGTATAAGCAACAAGTGCCCTTAATTGCTGAGCCATTTCTCCAATCCCAACGCTATCTTTTCATTCAAACCTCTTTTTTTTTTTTGTTTTGAGAAAGTTCATACTAGACACATCCCAAACATTTTAACTTACCAAATATCTACTGGGACGTTTTGCTGATTTTACTGTGAAGGCTCCTGAAATGATAAACTATACACAAAATATATATTGGTTAAAACTCATTGATAATACTCAGTAATTTAAGCAATGTTAAAACAACTATCTTTAAGGACAAGATTTTCATAAAACTAATAGTAACAAAGAGAGAAGTTTTGGTAGAAAGGGTAGGGATGAGTTTCCATTATGAGATAATCATGTTTTCAAAAGGTGACAGGTATTGAAAGTAATAGGAGTGTCACAACAGGTGTAAGTATGGGACAGTGGACAGGATTTAGGCAATGGCCTCTTAATCCTGCCTGAAGCAGGGACCAAGTTTGGTTATATGATACTCTTATTAATCCATTTAGGTGCAACTCCAATTTCTTTTGTTCCTAGTGAGATACCATGGACTGTAAGGACTGTGTACACATTCAGATGTGAAAAATGTGTCATAAATCCCTTAGACACCATGGCTGTAAAAAATAGCCTTTTCATTGAGAGGCAATAGTCACCATTAAGGCTACAGGATGCCTTTCACTTTATCTATTTATGGATGCGTGCATGTGTGGTGTATGTGTGCAGTATGCATGTGAGTGAGTGTGCTGTAGTACATACATCTAATCATACATTTTCTTTTATTGTTCCCCACCTTATTGCCTTGAAACAGGGTTTCTCAATGAACTGGAAGTTTTGTGTTTCAGCTAGACTGGCTGACCACTGAGTACTTGGAATTTGGCTGTCTCTACCCCTCACTGCTGTTGTTACTGCTATGTCCAGCCATGCCTGACTTTTTATGTTCTAGGGATTTGAACTCAGATCTTCACAATGGCATGCAGGGCAAGTATTCTTATTCACTGAGTTACCTTTCCAGCTGTCTTGCCTTCTATAAAAATTATTTTAAAAGAAATTCCATTATTTCCTTCAGGATTTCTATTTTCCAAGAAGTACAATGCTGTGCTATTTGAAAGCAGGCTACACAACTTCCCAGAAACAGCCTGACTGTTTTATTTTTAAGTTTTACTTATTTTTATTTATATGTAAGTATGTGTACCTGCAGTTCCTGCAGAGGTTAGAAGCAGTTATCAGATCTCTTGGAACTCAAGTTACAAGAAGTTGTGAATCCCCTGGTGTGGGTTCTGGGAACCAAACCTTGGTCCTCTGCAAGAGCAGCCAGGGCTCTAAACCACTGAACCATCTCTGCAGCCTTTGTCTTTTCTATTTTGGTGATTTTAGTAGAGGTTAATTATTTGGGGAGTAACAGCTATGTTTTAGAAATCATATTAAAAACTTTTCATACAACTTGACGTTCTTTTTTTCTTTCTCAAAACAAGCAGGGAAGCAATTATATAAGCAAAAATGCTACCCCAAACAAAAGGACAAACAAAATAAAACACCATACCAAAAGCAGCACAGTAAAAGCACGCAGAAAACATGGTTCTAGGAGTGGAGCTCAGATTTCCACACTTGTGCAGCAAACTCTTCTAACTGAGCTGCCTCTCTAGTCCCCCTGAAGTTATTTTTATAGTATGAAATGAAACACAAATCATTTCTCTGAGTTTTGTCTGAAAATTCTGTTTTGTTACCTTGTCTTTTTATTTTCTTCTTTCTTCCACGTGCTTTTCATTAATGAGCCAAATGCACCTTTATGTGTTGACGAGGCAGTGGATTGCTTATCAACCTGGCTTAGTGAGAATTTTGTCTTTGGACACCGAGTCAGCATGTGGGTAAAGGCAGATGTCTTCAAGGTCACTGTTTCTTTTAGTGACTACTCAGCCTCTTCTGTGATAGCCAGGGGACCGTCTTTGTTCCAGTACAAGACGGTGGGTTTTTTGTTGTTCCATTGTCTATTTCCACCATGATTTTCTTCCTCTAAGATTTGAGACTCGTGTTTCAGATGATGTCATCCACCACCCCTGTGCTTGAGATCACCCACTGACTGCTTTGTCATTCATCCCTTTCTAGATGATTTTCATTATTTGAACTCCTGAAGTCTCTCCTAAATCATTTAATTCTTAGTGATTTATGTGTGCACATCCTTCTGATTCTTTGAATTTCCCCCTTCAAATCCTTTATAAAAATCACTTGATTTCCATACCCATCCTCTTGTCTTTGTTGGACCCCCTGACTCCTCCCCAGGGATAGTGAGGTCCTCTACCAAGGACCTTAAAAGTCTGTCATATTGTTTGGGGGAGGGTCTAGGCCCTCCTTGCTGTATCTGGGCTACAATAGTATCCCTCCATCGGGAATGGGCTTCCAAAGTCCATTTGTGCTCTAGGGATAAAGACTGGCTCCACTGTTAGAGGACCCATAGCCTGTCTTGGACTCCTAGCTGGTACCCACATTCAGAGGGTATGGTCCAATGTTGTTTCCCCAGCTTTGTGACTAGGGTCTCCATTCTATCAGTAGGTCAGGTCCACTGTTTCTGCAGGCTTTAACCAAATACCCCCCCCAAAAAAAGTGGGGAAATCCACACACAATATGTAGTCATTCTTACCACTACTTGCTGTAGTGGGTGCCCTCTGGGGTTAAGCTCTAGTAATGTTTTCCCCACTCTATCTCTTCTCTCACACTTCTCCCTATTGGATTCTTTTCATCACCAGCATCAATTCTATGGTCAGCCACTAAAAACACGGCCTATATCCATTCTCAACTCCAGTGCACTTTTAAAAAAAAATCAAAATTGAGCCTTTTAGCCCAAATCCTGATGAAATATAGTTTTAATCCTGCTGTATTCCTGCATCCATTCAGATGACCATGTCTTGAATAAAGATTCATCTCCCTATGCAGTCATGTTCCTAAACCTTGAGTCCTTAATGCTGTATAAAGATCAGTTTACTTTTCCATAAACGACATGCTCTCACTTTTCTCAGATGGCCACTTCACACGCTTGCCTCTCTCCTAATGGCCGGTCCACATGCCTGCCCTCACTTTCAGCTCCTATCTTTCCTTCTGTTACATTGAGCTACTTGAAGCTTTTGTAGGAAATCGTCTACAAGCTTCCGAAATCGGATCAAAATCTGACCTCTGTTCTCTGTTTTTTCTCAATTACAAAGGGTTTATTTTAGCTCACAGTTTGAGATGGAGTACAGCTCATTAGAGTGTGAAGGCATGGTAGCACATCATTCATCGAGGTGGGAAGGGATGGTAGCAAGATACATCTGATCTGTCATTCGTTCATTCCCTCCTGTTGCCTTGCCTTTGCACTGTTTATGAGACTGGCTATAATTCTTTGAAAATGATGTGCATTATAGGATGCTTGGCAGCATCGTTAGCTTTTGCCAAGGATGTAAAAATCCAGAACTGCTTCAGATACTATGACATGTTTTCTAAGGGGTTAAAATTAAGACTAATTGAGAACCATCATTGGGGAACATGACCATAGCTCTTTGTTCACTAAAATTTGTTATCTCTTGCTAACACAGGCACACAATTGCCACATTCTCATAACATTTATTGCTTTTTATTCCAGGTCTACCCCCCACACCAGTAAAAGACAATAGAAAAAAGGACATGAAGTTGAAAGGGAAATGTGGTGGGGCTACAAGAGGAGCTGGAGGGAGAGAGTCAGGTAGAAATGAACTAAATGCATTGTACACAAGTTTAGGATTATCAAAAAGTAAATTAAAATATAAAAATTCTCCCCAGCTCTTATTCTATTCCCCTAAACCAAGTCCAATCAGGATTCCATGTCATTTTATTGAAACTACTTGTCATGTTTATGACTGGATAACATATTTAAAAGCCCAAGAGACAGTTTTCAAACCTTATACTGACAAACCAACAAAAGACAATAGAGCTGGGTTTTTTATTTTTTTGGGGGGGTTTCAAAACAGGGTTTCTCTGTATTGTTTTGGAGTCTGTCCTGGAACTCACTCCGTAGACCAGGCTGGCCTCAAACTCACAGAGATTCACCTGCTTCTGCCTCCCAAGTGCTGGGATTGAAGGCGTGCACCACCAATGCCCAACACTGATCTTTTTTTTTTTATGTCTTGTGATATATTCTTCCCTTGACTTCTATGGATCCCCCATACTCTGAGTTTTCCTTCTGCCCAACAACTGTCTAGAAACCACACCAGAATGCAGGTAATGGCAAATCTAAAAACTAACCATGATAATGGACATGGTGGTTAAGAGTCTTTGTCTTTGACATAGCTAGGGATATAGTTCACATTGTGGTTGTCATTTACTCTTATATTAAAGGTGCTCAATGCAGATTTGTTGAAAGAAGGAACTGGATTTTGAATAATTCAGTAAATGGCATTGAGTTATATGATTCTCCTTGAAAACCTTGTTTAGAAACTGGTTCCTCCCACCTACAAATCAATATTATTTACTGAATTAATAAAGTCAACACAAATGTGTTCTACTCACAGCAAATCCCCATAAAGCAGTTCCCATTTTGTAAGTTAAAGGTTCATAAGTCCCAAATACTCCTTTAATTTGTCCCATATACAATAGCAATAGGAAATACCACATGAGTACATGATAGATGCCAATGATAATCTGGATAACCTGTAAGAAGAGAGAGCTGTTAGAACTGGAATGTATGGAAAACACAGTTTCAATAAACATTTAACTTCTTTGTAAAATATGGAAGCAAGCTAGTCATGCATTAACTATGGAGTTCTTACTGGTTGTACCAGACATAACATCTGTCCAGGAAGGACAAGCCAAGGCTTCTGAAGAGCTCTGGTGGTACATGAGGAACAAGCTAAAGTTTTCTTACTGAAAAAAATGATTATTAATTCATAGCTTATCACTGGGTTCTAGGAAGTCTCACTTATACCACCCCACTCACCAACCAACCATCCCATTAACCAACCAACCAACCAACCAACCAGACTGAAAATGATGGCAGCATGTACATGAATCAGATGAATTAAGGAGAGCAGATTAAGTATTTCACTCTATTCTGAGTGGTCTGTCATCACAGAGCTAAGAACTTCCATGCAACAGCTTGGGCAGCTAGTCTGCATGGTCTGAAAACTCAGAGGAAAGCCTGTGGAACAGTTTTCTCCCACTGGTTATGAAAGTGTGATTTTCCTAACTTCTTGGTGTTTGTTAATAGAACTAGGTAAATTTTAATCTCTCAGGGTTTATAACTGAACAGAAGCGTGTGTTCACCTTACTGTACAAACGTGAGTGCGGTGAAGAAAAGAAATCAGCGATAGATCTCTTTTAAACTAACAAACACAAACCCACTTTAAAATTTGATAATTATTCATACAGCTGGATTCCCTTGGGGGTGGGGATTCAGTTGAAGTGCTTGTGTCTCAGCACACACTTGTTCATGAAGGACTGGGAGACCAGGCAAAAGCTACAATAGACAATCAGCATGGTTTTCAAAAAAGCTTTGGCCTCTTAGTTATTCAAAATACCTCCCTTTCTAGATACAAGGTCACCCTTTTAAAAACTGGCAATATTTAAAACACTGAATTTAGTCAATCAGAGTGAACTCTTACTGCTGTGGTTTGAGTGTGTAGTGCCTTCCATAGGATCACATGTTGAATGCTTGGCCCCTGGCTGAAGGTATGCTTGGGAAGAGGTTGTTAGGTCTTTAAGAGGTAGAGTCTCACTGGAGAAAGTTGTTAGAAGTGGGCATTGGGGATTTGTAGCTTATCCCCACTTGCTGTTCACTCTCCAATTCTTGAATGCATATGCAATGTGGACCACCAAGTCCAAAGCTTCCTCTTCCTATCACCATGCCTCCCCTGCCTTCTGCCATTTCCTCCCCACCGTGATGGACTGTATCCCTCACGAATGATCTGCCAAAACAAACCCCTTTGCATTCAGTTACTTTGGGGATACTTGATCTCAGTAATGAGAAAGTATGACACTCACCCCTAAGACAATAACATTTTCTGAAGATATTTTTGAGTTTCCACATCCCATTCTTTCAGGATTTCCGCTGTTTGAATTTGTTTCTAACCTTCGGTGATATCTTTATTACCAGACTTCTACAAAAGAATACAAAACACATACACACACTTTTTCTCAGAGAAAACTCAGGCATCTGATTCTTAGTGCTTGACAGCAATCTTCCTAAACTCAGAGGCCACAAGTTTTTTTTCTTTCTGTCTTTTATCTCTCACAGCCCTTAGTGCACATCTACCTGTTTTGAATAACAACCTCCAGAATGAAGGAAATACTGATATTTTCCTCTATGATGAGGAAATACTGATATTTTGCACGTGTTATCCTTTACTACTTAACAACATTTCTAGATGATAAAGAATAAAGGTCAACTGGAGAATAGTATTAGAAAAATTTCAGTAAAACTTCAATGATTTATTTATATTCACAATCAACTTATGCTAGTCATATTTTGTATTTTCTTCTTTCAAAATTTACTTGAGAATTTCATACGTGAATATACTATATTTCATAATTTGTATTTCTCCTTTTCCCTTCAATTCCTCTTGTGCCCTGTGACACACTCTTGAATTCATGACCTCTTCTTTTATATTTAGTGGTGATATAAATATTTGCATATATGCATACACACATGCAAAAGTCAGTAACAAAGGTCATGACACATGACTGATCATGTAAATGTTTTTCCTTGATCTTTTCTGAAAGAAGACCGTTTTGACAAAATGATGCTGTGAGTTCAAATCTAATGACTTGATTATTTTAATGAATCTTTAGTTTCTAAAATTTATTTTCTCAATGTCTATTAATGCAACAGTAGAGAAACAATGTGACTGAAATAAGCTGTGTGATTTCAGATACTGTCTCCAAGAAGCAATCAAGAGTTGGGACTTAAAGGCAGCCAAACTTAATTTCTCTTCTGTGACTAGATATCCACAGAACTACAGAACTTGTTTAGGGGAATAATGGAATGTCAAGAATGCTGTTAATTGCCACTTTCAGAAAAAGTCATTTTGTGTGCATGGATAAGTTTATTCACTTTTGTAGCATTCCAGGGGAAGCAGAATGTGGTAAGCTGGGGAGTAAAATATTCAGTGTCTCTGTAATCTTGATGAGGCACACAGTAAAGTCATCCAAGTGGAGAACTCATAAAAATGCTAATTAGAAAAGTATGTGTGCATGTTCTTTAAAGATGCTCAGTTTAGTTCTGGCAAGAAAAAAATATATGAATAACTAGTCAGAATTCTTTCTTTTAAAGAAAAACTAGATTTGGCTGCTCTACAAGCCAACTAAGGATTCTAATTCTGTAAAAAATAATATTCTTTTAAAGAAAAACTAGATTTGGCTGCTCTACAAGCCAACTAAGGATCCTAATTCTGTAAAAAATAATAATCACTTATTTATTTTTATTTTCTAATAATCCCATCATTAACCTAGAAGCAGGTAAAGGACAAGTTCCTTAGTCGTTATTCCTAGCCTGACTCTCACATGCTAAAACTAGCACTGATATTCTGGAACAATTAGAGAGAGATCATGTCTATGACTTATCCTTATCATTTTCAGCCAAGATAAAACCCATTATTATTTTCACATAAAGCTAAAGTAATTGAATAATGGCTTTAATAAGTAATTAATTTTTAATTTTAGGCAGTTCCATTCATGTGTATAATGAATTTCAGTCCTTCTCACCCCCTATGATCCTGTCTTATCTCCCTACCATCTTCTGCCAAAACTCTTTATTGAAAGCAACAAGTCCCTTTATAGTTTTTCTGTCTTTTTATGTGTCTGACCTGCTGCATTAAATAGGGTTGCCTTGATGAGCATGCCTGGAAGGTTATTTCTTGGATTCTGGGTTACACCACTGAAGAAAGTGATACCCTTTCCCTCAGATGTCATTAACTGTCAGTAGTCCCTCAGGGTGGGTTGAAGCCTCTTGAGCCCTTTCCTCTCTCATGATGAAAAAGTTGATGGCTCCAATCTTGTGTAGGTGAGGTAGTGAGTTCTTCAGTGTATCAACCATGTTATGTCCGGAAGACGATGTTTCACAGCCTCACCTTCAGCTTCTGAATTTTAATCTTCCTACTTCCTCAACCATAATGTTCCTTAACATTGGAGTGCGTGCGTGCGTGCGTGCGTGCGTGTGTGTGTGTGTGTGTGTGTGTGTAAACATTTAAAAATTTTTACTTAAAAAATTGTGTGTTAACATGTATGTTTGGATGGCCATGGAAGAGGGCATTGGATCCCCTGGAGCTGGAGTTAAAGATAGCTGTGAATTTCCTGATATGGGTGCCTGGAATTGAACTCTGGTCCTCTGCAAAAGCAGCAAGACTCATAACCACTGACCTATCTCACCAGCCTCAAAAATGATTTTTTTAAATAAAAAGAGGAGAATTAAGTCTAGAATCTTCAGGGGACACATCAATTCTTTCATGAACAGTTTCCTGCCCACCTTCCCCACCTCACATGGCCATTCCAATCTCACGAGCCTAACTTTTCCGGAAAGCCTGCTGGTGTACAAATTAGCTAACACCCAGTTTGTTGTCTTAACATTTTGCCCACAATTTCTGTCTTGGTGTGCTATAACTTTTGATCTTCAAGACCAGTTCAAATCCCCTTTGAGTCCCCAGAAACCCAGAAATTTATTTCCATATGTTCATGACCAGTCCTGCTTAATTCCTTGGCCATATGCATCCAGCTGCCCCCTTTCCATCCCTGCTTTTCTGACTGATATTTTTAATGAATATTTTACTTAAGGTGATCGGTGGGTAATCTTGATGTTATAGTGATATTAAATATTTTACTTTCCACCTCACTTCATGGTACATTCATATATGGGGACTCAGCGCTAGATGAAATCTAGAATGTATGGGTGAGAATGAATAGCTACTGGGAGTTAATTGTGAGACTGAGGCAGGAGAATTGCTCAACCCAGGAATTCAAGAGCAATCGGGGCAACATAGTGAGATCCCACATCTCAAAACCTAAATAGAAACAAAGTGTTTTTTAAAGGTCGAAATGAGAGGGTATAAAAGACGGAGAATGGAGATGTGCTCACCCTCTTCTTTCCCTCCTCACCCTCTTTTCTCCAGACTCCATGTCCATTTTGACGCGTAGCAAAAGTAAAGCGGTACGCCATTACCTCACATTTCACTTGTCTCAAGTCCCAAGGATCCGGTTCACCCTATCAGTTCCAGGCACAGACTGAGACAGATCACGGTGGATGGTGCTCTCAGCGCTAGACCTGGCTGCATAGCCATCAGAGGCAGCGGCACAGAGTCTAGCGCTCAGCTGGTTTTCAAGCTCCTCAGGCCGCCTGGGTTGTCAAGGGCAACAGCCCTCCGTCAGGTGGAGGGATGAGCACCAGTGCGCAGACTCACTGGAGCTTGCAGCCAGGCCATGGGCCAACCCCTCAACCACCTTCCGGAGTCTCTAGTAATGGCTTTCCTGGACATGGAACCAAGACTGCCTTTCAGGGGGTACATCTCCCAATATAGAACAGTTGCAGAGACCTGTCCTTCACCACACACTTCAGAAGGTTTCAACTTGTAAAAAGGCAAGTATCGGAGTTAATAGTTCACTCCCTCTCCACCTTCCTCCAAATATAAATGTCTCAAGAAATTAATGAAGAGACTGTTTAGGAAACTCCCAAAAGGGCTTTTTTGACCTACCCGCTGGAGAGGTCTTACTTTGCGTGCGGTAGTTCAATGTTTGTGAAGAGAAATGTAAAGAAGTGTAGATAGCTGTGAAAAGATAAAGAGTCAGATCTGGGAGGGCAGGTGAGAAGACTTGGGAGGGAGAGCAGTGTTCTCTGATAAGCAAGGCCACCCTGCTGAGCACCGAGGACTTCCTGAGGGGTTAAAGATTGGGCAGTAGAAGCTCCTTCAATCACAGCATGCCTGAGCTTTCATTTTTCCCCAGAGGATTTAACATATTGGAAAACTTAAAATTCTGGCTTACATCGCAAATATTTAGTGGATGATAATTAAATCCCTTTATCTCATAAAGAATTTTTTTCTAAATCTTTCTAATACTGCAAAAGCTTAACTACTCAAGAGTCAACAGGCAGAATTTAAAGTTACTGAGGTCCTCCCATGGTTTCTATAGCATGAAAAAAATGGATCAGAAATTGAGTGACTTTGTTTTTAACCTTATAGCTAACTTTCTTGCATTGAGACTCTGAAGAGTCTTCAAATAAGAGAAAATAAAACGCCAAGGCTCTCTTACTCTTTGAATTGTGTATTGGTTAGTATATCATTAAGGATTATTAGTTTTATTGTTTTTATTCTCTCTCTCTCTCTCTCTCTCTCTCTCTCTCTCTCTCTGTGTGTGTGTGTGTATGTATGTATGTGCATGCCATGGGTGTTTGTTGAGTTCAGAGGGCAACTCACTAGTTGGTTTTTCTCCTTTCATGATGGGAGAGCCAACTTAGGTGTGGCAGCAAGTGCCTTTACCTGTTGAGCCTGGTTTGGTTTTATCTTTAAGTAGTATAGTACATTAGTGTTCTCACAGGGACATTAGTGTTCCCTTATGTTTTCTGTATGAGAATGAACATTATTATGCCCACTTTGTGCTCTAGAAAGGGCAACAAAGTAGAGTGCACCTTCAATTTCAAAGTTAGGGATTTAGTAGAATTCTCAAGTGGAGTCAGTTCTGAATAGACGGACCCTTCTTGTCATTGCCCTGTCAAGATTGGTAACTCTTTTTCTTTCACCAAAACTGTCTGGAAATGAACTTAGATTTGACCAGTTTGTTACATGGGCCCAAATGTGTATTCAATATGAGTGTAGGCAAGAACACACAGATACAGTTAAGTATTCCTCAGTGGTCCTAGCACAGATCAGTAACTAACACTGGTTTGTCCCCATCTATCACCTAGATTTGGGAATTTATAGCTCATGTCTTTTACATTTTTATCATTTGGTTTTGTGAAGTTTTATATCCTTTAATGCTGAAGATGTAAACAGCCATAGTCTGACCCTCAGGAGGACTCACTTTCAACCTTTGTCACCTCAAATATTTCTTCCCGTGGGTCATATTTTCAACTTCTCTTGAATTGGTTCCCAGGATACAAAAGACATTAAGAGGGAATGTACTGGAGCCACCATGCCTCTGTAGTGTCCTTCATGTCATTTTGTAGGGGGTCACTATTAGGAACCTGTTGGGCGTCAGCCCTGATAAAACAAAACCTTGTCCAAGTTGTTAGGAGGAATTTCATTTTACAGACACACAAGAGAAAACAGAAGTTTTGTCTGTGTAAAAACTGGGGGGTGCCCTTTCCCAATGGAGTCCTGCTGGGTATAAAAAGCACATTAAAGGCAGGCTTAATGTCCACCAGTAGATGGTCAACACAAAATGAACTCAATGCTATTTTTCGAGTTTTTTTTTTTTTTTTGTCTCTGGGCATTTTTTAAGTCTTTCAGATCTTTTGCTTATATATTATGGTTTCTCATTTTGTTTTGGTGGGTTTTCTGTGTGTGTGAATGTATATGTCTCAGCAAAAAATGAATGCAATGCTTTTTTTGGAGTTTTTTTTTTTTTTTTTTTGTCTCTGGGCATTTTTTAAGTCTTTCAGATCTTTTGCTTATATATTATGGTTTCTCATTTTGTTTTGGTGGGTTTTCTGTGTGTGTGAATGTATATGTCTCAGCATGGGCATGTGTTTCTTGTGCCTTTTTTGGGCTCCTTTTTTCCTGTTTGTTTTGTCCTATCCTGGTCTGTTTGTTTTTATGTTCTTTTATTAGTAATAATAATATTATTATTATTGTAGGTGCCTGTTTGTATTCTAATGAGAAAGAAAAGGAAAAGGTGTGAATTTGGGTGGATATGGATATGGGGAGAATCTGAGAGGAGTTAGGGGAGAGGAAACCATAATCAGAATATATTGTATAGAAAAAGAATCAATATTTTCAATTAAAAATATTAATTTCCACCTATGTGTCTTATAGAGAAGCAGTTCTGTTGTTAGAAGGCAAATTCCATTCTTTCCTGGAGACAATTTGGTAAAATATGAATCATTGTAATATTCATTGACTCTGACCCAGCTGAACATGTCTGAGTATTCCCAGGCTCCCAGGGTTATAGAATTCTGAACAATGATGCTTGGCACTTGAGCTTAGAATAGGGAAAAGCATTGTGTAGCTATTGTAGCTCAAGATGGTAAGTGTCTACTGGAAATAAAATAAGCTGAAAATGATTTTAAAAGGAAAGAGTGGGCTGGGGAGGCAGTTTGTGGTAAAACACTCCGTTGCAGTACAGGCATGAGGACAGAGTTTGAATGCCCAGTACCCATGCAAGAGCCAGGCCAAGCAGCATC